CAGTGTCACTGGCCCTCATATGTGGGATCCGAACCGGGGCCCTCTGGCGTCCCAAGCCAGTTCTTAACCATCGCGCCACTCGGCCGGCCCCTCTCTTTCTTTCTTGAACCCACTCTAGTTGCTTTTGCTCCCACCCTTCCACCGAAAGTGCTTTTTCTGAGGATCACCAACGATTCCGTGTTGTTAAATTTCACGATGAGTTTTTATTTGATCTTTCAGCAGCATCTCGCGTAGCTGATACTTCCTTTTCTTTTGATATACTGTTGTAATTTGGTGTTTAGAATGCCAGGCTCTCCTGATTTCTGCCTTATTGGCCACTTTTTCTAGGGTTCAGTTTCTTTTTGTAAGCTTTGTCTTATCTCTCATCCTGTAATGTTTTTTTTAAAATTGTGAATTGGGGGAGGGGAACAGCCAAGTTGTTCTTCAGTCGTAGTTGTGGAGGGCGTCAGTCGCCATCTGGCTGCCCATCGGCAGCTCATGGCCTCTAAGCTCAAGGTTCTGAGTTCAGTCTTAATTGCGGGTGAGCGTAGCCACCATCCCATGTGGGAGTCGAACCCGGCAGCCTTTTTGTTAAGAGCACACACTGAATCTATTGAGCCATCCGGGTGGCAGCTCAGTTCAAGGTGCCAAGTTCAGTCTTAGTTGCAGGCGGGCATAGCCCACTATCTAACAGACAAGACAGTCTTGTTGTTAGGAGCACGTGCTCTCACCAGCTGAGTCATCCTGCCATCTGTTGGCAGCTCAGTGGCAGCTCAGCTCAGGCACAGTGTCACTGGTCCATGTGGGAATCGAACCCGCGGCCCTGTTGCTCAGAGCTTGTGCTCTTAAGCAAACTTTTTTTTTTTTTACATTTACCAGATATTTTATTTTTGCTTCAACAAAGGTCTTTGGTGGGTGAAATCAGAACATACTTGTCATACACATAATCTTAAGCAAACTCTTAACCAACTGAGTCACTCAGCCGGCCCTCTCATCCTGTTATCTTAATTCTCAGAGTGACTCAGGGCTCATTCCTCACATCCTTTTTGTCCTCACTTCCTTAGTGCTCTCATCTAGTGTCACAGGCTTAAACACTCAGATGCTGATGACCTCCTCATTATATCTCTAGCCTGGAATCTCCCTTCAGCACTAGCTCCTGTATCTCTTTGCCTCCTTGGCTTGACAAAGGTACACCTCTACACGTGTATCCAACTAACCATTTCCCAAACCAAGCTCCTGATCTCACCTCAAATCTGTTCCACAGTTTTACTGGTTCAGTTAATAGCTTTTCCTAGCCTCTCCGATGAGAGGTCAGCAAACTTCTGTAAAGGGCGAGATAGTAAGTATTTTAGCCTCTGTGGGCCAGACAGTCTCTGTTGCAACTATTCAGCTCTGCCACTAGCACAAAAGTAGCCGTGGACAGTATAGAAACTACTGGGCATATTTCACTTTTCACACTTTATGCATCCCAACAGGACAAATCCTGTTGGTTCTGTTTCCAAAGTAGACCTCAAATCTGTCACTTTTCTTTGCTACTGCACTGCTTTCGTCAAAACCATCATTATCTGTCACTTGGACCACTGTAGCAGCTCCTCACTATTCTTGCTAACGCTTCTCATAGGCACTTTTCCAGGCTGCAGTGTTGCTTTGGGTCCTTTCTGTTTTTCTTTCTCTTACTTTTTGATGCATTTCAAAGTAAGTTGCAAACATTAGTACATAGCCCCCTATATACTCCAGCATATATATTGTTAACTAGGGTTTAATATTTGCTTATATTATAGTACTTTTTATTTATTTTAGTATACAATTTATATATAACTAAATGTACAAATATTTATGTACCATTCAACAGTTTTGACATATGCATACACATCTGTATTACATGCTTCTAAGATTTTATTGGGGAAGGAAGGGGAACAGCCAAGTTGTCCTTCAGTCTTAGTTGTGGAGGGCGCAGCTAGCTCAGTTCCAAGTCCAGTCGCCATCCAGCTGCCCATCAGCAGCTCGCGGCCACTCAGCTCAAGGTGCCATGTTCAATCTTAGCTGCAGGTGGGCATAGCCCACCATCCTGTGCGGGAGTTGAACTGGCAACCTTGTTGTTGGAGCACGTGTTCTCACCAGCTAAGCCATCCTGCCACCTGTTGGCAGCTCAGCTGCAGCTTAGCTTGGGCGCAGCGTCACTGGCTCATGTGGGAATCGAGTCGGCAACCCTGTTGCTCAGAGCTCATGCTCTTAACCATCTGAGCCACTCAGCCGGCCCCTAATTTTTTATCTTTTATTCTGTCAGTATGTTGAGTTACATTGGTTGATTTTTAAATGTCATGATTTTTTTTTTGTTCTGTTTTATTTAGAGAACGTTAATTTTGTTTGTTTCAGGTGCACAAAACAATGTAATAATTAGACATTTACACCCCTCACAAAGGGATAACCCCAATTTGTCTACCTTCCTTCTGACATGGTACATAGCTGTTACAACACCATTAACTATATTCCCTGTGCTGTACTTTATATCCCCGTGACTATTTTGTGACTACCAATTTATACTTCCTAATCTTTTCATACTCATCCTCCCAACCCTCTCCCATCTAGTAACCATCAGTTTTTTTCTCTATGAACCTATTTGTTCTGTTTGTTTGTTTATTCTGTTCTTTAGATTCCACATATAAATGATTATATGGTATTTGTCTTTCTCAGTCTTATTTCATTTAGCATAATATTTTCTAGGTCCACCCGTGTTGTTGCAAATGGTAAGATTTCATTCTTTTTTATGGCAGAGTAATACTCCATTGTATAAATGACAATTTTTTTTTAAATTAGTTTCAGGTGTACAAAGCAACGTAATAGTTAGACATTTACACCCCTAACAAAGTGATAATCCCACCCAATCTACTACCCTTCTGACATTGTATATAGTTGTTACAATACTGTTGATTATCTCCCCTATGCTATATTCCACATCCCATGACTATATATACAGAGGGTGCCAAAAAATGTAGACATATTTTAAGAAAGGAAAACTATATTAAAATTGTAATGCTCAATATATACTGGCAACAAAAGATGAATACAAGTCACGTTTGACTTCTGGAATTACAAGAGGTGCTCAAAGTGGTTATCATCAGTGCCCAGGGACTTCTGATTATGGCGAACTACTGCTTGAGCAACGTTGACCAAAGTGTCCACCTGTATACGTTTTTTTGGCACCCCTGGTATACATGTATATTTAATTATAGTTGACATTCAGTATTATTCTACTTCAGCTTCAGGTGTGGTATATAGCACATTGGTAAAAATATATGGAATGCTTCACGAATTTGCATGTCATCCTTGCACAGGGGCCATGGTAATCGTCTCTGTATAGTTCCAATTTTAGTATATGTGCTGATGAAGCAAGCTCCACAATTTCTTTATTCATTCATCTGTTGATGGGCATTTTGGTTTTTTCTCTTTCTTGGCCATTGTGAATAGTGCTGCAGTAAACATAAGGGGTGCATATGTTTTTTTCAAATTAGTGTTTTAGGGCCGGCTGAGTGGCTCAGTTGGTTAAGAGCTCGCTCAAGAGTTTGAGCTCTGAGCAACAGCGGTTCGAGTCCCGGCCCGAGCTGAGTAGCCGCTGAGCTGCCAACAGGTGGCGGGATGGCTCAGCTAAAACACACACACACACACACACACACACACACACACACACACACAAACCCAATCAAATTAGTGTTTTGGATTTCTTTGGATAAATACCCAGAAGTGGAATTATTGGGTCATAAGGTAGTGCTATTTTTCATTTTTTAAGGAACTTCCATACTGTTATCCATGGTGGCAGCACCAATTTGCTATCCCACCAACAGTGCACAAAGTTTCCCTTTTCTCCACATCCTCACCAGCACTTGTTGGTTGTTGATTTATTGATGATGGCCATTTCTGACAGGAGTGAGGTGATATCTCATTGTAGTTTTTATTTGCATTTTTCTGATGATCAGTGATGTTGAGCATCTTTTCATATGTCTATTGGCCACTGTATGTCCTCTTTGGAGAAACGTCTATTCAGGTCCTCTGCTCATTTTTTAATTGAATTGTTTGGGTTTTGTGGTGTTGAGCTGTATGAGTTCTTTATAAATTTTGGATATTAACCCCTTATCAGATGTATCAGTGGCAAATATCTTCTCCCATTCAGTAGTGTCTTTTTGTTTGTTTGATGGTTTCCTTTGTTGTGAAAAAACTTCATTTTGATATAGTCCCATTTGTTTTTTTTGTCTTTAGTTTCCCTTGTCCGAGGAGATATATCAATCAATAAAAATATTACTAAGGATAATGTCTGAGAGTTTCCTTCCTATATTTTTTTCTAGGAGTTTCAATGGTTTCAGGTCTTACGCTTAAGTCTTTAATCCATATTGAGTTTATTCTTTTTTTTTTTTTTTAGCTAAGCCATCCTGCCACTTGTTGGCAGCTCAGAGGCAGCTCAGCTCGGGCCAGGACTCAAACCTCTGTTTCTCAGAGCTCAAACTCTTAAGCGAGCTCTTAACCAACTGAGCCACTCAGCCAGCCCAAGTTTATTCTTATATATGGCTTAAGAAGGTGGTCCTCTTCCTTTCTCTGTCTCTCTCTCTGTCTCTCTCTCTCTCTCTCTCTCTCTCTTTTATTTTGGTATGTATTTGTTCAATTTTCCCAGCACCATTTATTGAATAGATTGTCTTTACCCCAATATAAATTCTTACTTCTTTTTGTCATAGGTTAAATGACCATATAGGCATGAATTTATTTCTGGGCTCTCTATTGTGTTCCATTGATTTATGTATCTGTCTTTATGCCAATGCCAATGGCATGATATTTTTAATGAGCCATAAGTTTCTTCTATAAGATGTAAGATAAACCTAGATTTACTAAACCTTTTGGATATATAATATATTGTGAACATGATCATAATAAATTCATAAGCATTTTTTCCATATCATTGAATGAAATCACCTGAAATAAGACTATGCTGTTACAGGTAACATTTGCATTTAAGGATGTGTTTGTGGACTTCACTTCGGGGGAATGGCAGCTACTGGATGCTGCTCAGAAGAGCTTATACTGGAATGTAATGTTGGAAAATTATAGCAACCTTGTGTCAGTCGGTAAGGACATGTTTCTTATATATCTCTTGATGAACTCTCAGCCTATTGCTTTTTTTCCTTAATTCCTAGAATTTATGGGTCCTCTGAAGTTTTTAATGTCTTTAAACTTAGGATTTATAGATGGTAGAATCTTTGTGTCTGTATGAACCAGGAGAGAGGTTCAGAGGTTCTGAAGACCAAGCTTTTGGGCCCATGTTGATCTACATACAGATTATTAAGCTTCTAGGCTACAAGCAGTCTTCCACATGGAGCAAGAAGTGTCACAGATTGTAGAGGGAGAAATCTGCAGTAAGGGCAGTCTAGGTGAGTGAATATAAAACAGGTAGATGAATGAAAGTGTAAGGAGATAGAATCTTAGATAGGTTCTTTTGAGATCTCTACTCTAAAACTCCTGAACTCTTAAATATGACACAAAACAGTTGACAGCTTCCTAGATGTCATTAAAGATTCTTCCACTCATCACCTTGCTCATATTAGGACTCTCTGCTTGACATTTAGAAGGAGATTGGCCCCTTATGTCTATTCACTCTGTATCAGATCTCTGGAATCTGAATTAGGACCTTACTTTCTTGGTTATTCTTTCTAGCATCTGTACTCGTCCTCACCAACACTGCTTATGTTGCCTTCCTCCTACTCCACACCTCACCTGTGGTCAGAATTATGCTTCCAAATACACATGGATTTTTTTCCCCCTTTCCTATGTTTTGTATGACTTTTGTGTTCCTCTGCTTTCCTTCTATTTTCTCTTTTCCTTCTACTAGATGCCTCTAACTTGTATCCTATATCCAGAATATCATTTCTTTCTTTGATCGTTGTTATGAGAGTCTACACCTTCCAGTACCTAATCATATAAAGATTCATTGGTCTCCGTCCTAGAAGACACCTGGCAAGTTGATGATGTACACTGGCACCAGCAAAACTCTGACAAGCCTGATCCCGTGGAGAGGCATGGGATCCTCTGTGGATACGATGCATTTGGGAAAGTATTTCACCTGAGTAAAGACTTTAATCATTTCGATTTAAATGGAAAAACTTTGAAACATAATTTAGATATACTTTTCCAGAACAGAAATTATGTAAATAAGAAAGCTGAAAAGTTAAATCTGCTTGAGAAATTATTTCTCCATGCTATGCACAAAAACACTCAGTCTGGAATTAATTGCTATGGTTATGATTGTGGAGAAGCTGTCAGTAAGAAGTCATGCCTGAATATAACTCATATAGCAATGAGATTTTACAAATGTAGTGAATGTCAGAGATCCTTTAACTACATGTCACAACTCCTTGTGCACCAGAGAATTCACACAGGAGAGAAACCCTATGGATGCAATGAGTGTGGGAAAGCTTTTGCACAGAAGAAGGGTCTCCTTTTACATCTGCGAACTCACACAGGAGAGAAACCCTATGGATGCAGTGAATGTGAGAAAGCTTTTGCGCAGAAGAACGGCCTCATTT